TCAGCATTTCTAAAGAAAACAATTCACTCTAAGTAAACAAATATAGATATTTAATCTAAATATACATATCTATCTGTGCAGATTTGGGGGTTTCATTATTTTTTTTTTTTTTTTAAATTACTACAAACTGCATAGCTCATCCTGGAATTACTGCAAGATAACCAGATAATAAAAGTCTCACCTATGAAAATTTCACAAGTAAAAAACCACATTCATAAAACAGCTTTAACTGAGAACCTCAGACTATTCTTCTGCTGCCATTAAAAATGAAAAGTTATTTGTAAAGGTTTTGCTAATTTTTTAAAAAAGTATCAGCAAAGTTAATTTGGAAATAGAAGTCAAGATTTATTGCACATTTCCTTTTAAGATGTTACTAAAAAGATCACCTAAACAAAAGCTGTTCCATTTAGCTATTATTTCAACTGTATTTGTGAATATTTCAATTATTCAAATGCACATAAAATAAAAATTAAAAAAAAAATCCAAAAAAACCCCAGGCCAGCTTGGCTTAATTAGGTCACCACTGGAAAATAAAATGATAACTAGAAATATCTTCAGACTAAGTTTTTTGCCTATCAGTGGTTTCGTGAAAATTCTTTGGGAAGTAAAGTGGATATTGTCTCCAAACATGATAAATATGAATTGAACTAATGGCAAGCATGAGTATGTACAGCTGAGCAAGTATTATTTCACTAGGATAACTAGAGCAGTGATTTGACATGCCTTAATTTCACCTTAAAAGTAAAACCTCACTTAATTCTTGGTGATTCGTTTGAGCTTACTACAAATACTCCAAACTCAGCAATGAGAGAGACAATGACTTACTTCTCAGATTTCCCATTCCAGGAGTCAGGCTCATTCTGGGAGGCAGTGTGCTGTGATATGGTGGAGTAGTGCTGAACAAGATATCATTTGGCAAGGCCTGGTCTATCACTGAGCTTCGAGAGCTGGCGTAGGAAGATCCCCTTCGATTGCTACATATGCTTTCATCAGAGAGGGTGCGGTAAAGTGTCCTCCGTGGGGAAAGGTTTCCATAGAATGAAAACTAAAGATAAAAATGAGAACACATATTGCTGGTTGAAGTGATTCATACAACTGTATCCCATTATCAGTTCTTGGGAGTGTTTTTCTGGACAGGCACTCTGGAATACTTGAACTAATACAGAAGATCAGAGATTTCTTCCACCATATCAGATCTACTGGGGCCTCAAAAGAGTTACTGAATTGGATACTCAGACTTCCTCTCAATATTTTGGAACATATAACCATGAATTAATCAGATCATGTGTAGTTTTATTAATTGTGAAATGTTAAATGAAAACTTCACAGCCTTATGACAGCAACACTTTACAGAAATGTATAGAACTGTTTGATTTTAATTTGAAATGACCACTGTTTAATGTTAAACATTCTGAACTGATATATGCTGCCACATAATTTATTGGATGATAAAAGTGACTTGAGACACTGCATCTCTCTGGATATCACAAAACAGGCTTAGAAAAGAGGATAACAGGTTTCATTGAAAACTGCTTATGCATTTCAAAAGGTTACCCAGACCACAACCCAAATATCTACAGTACAACAAGATGCTACTGTATTGTAAAGCTGGACCATACCACTTTGTAAGTAATTTCTCAGTACTGCAAACACAGTTTTCTTTACATCTACAAGGCACAGTTAGTGCCTTAGTTATTTTACTGGTTTACTACATACAACAATTACATGTTTTCTTTGCAATTAATTGTGTGTTCCATTTTCCCTGTGCAGAACAAATGCTTAAGAGGAATGGCTTTTGCAAACAGTGAATATAGCGTAGAATCTCAGTTATTCAGGAAATTAATTTCTGACTTCACTGTCAAAGGTAACTGGCTCACCAATATCAAGATCACTACCCTCTGTGAAGGCACAGCCACAGACTGTACACTGCCAAATCCTTGGCTGGGGTTCCTTGTGAGTCAGGGCCCACTTGGTCTCACTTACTTAACTTTTGTTTAGGTGCCTAGGAGAGGAAGGGGATAGCAGTCATTTATCTCAGCCACACTCCCTCTCTCCTCATTGATTCTTATTTAGGCAGCCAGAAACACTGGCAGTTCTTGGAATCTTCAGAAACCCCTTCCAATTATTGTATCAATCATAAATCACAAAAACCTCTAGGACACGACCCACAAAAATTCAAGCACGTATAATGCACACTTAACATACCACATATTATAAAATATATATGATTTGAATTTTAAATTCAACTCTGCACTTACAAGATTCCCATGTGTTACTTTTGTTCAGACATGATGATTATGCTATTTAGCATATTGTATAAACACAGTGGGTTAAGAGAGCATTGAGTTAATATGGAAGTGTGACAATTATCTCAAGTAATTTAATTGCTTTGTTCTTTATTCCACATTAAGCACAGAATTCAGAACCATTTACTGTGGGGAGCAGCAAATTTTAAGATCACTATCCACTTATTGTGAACTATTAAGCATTACCAACTGTCTTCATACCATAAAGATTAGATCCAGGCTCTCCAGTAGCACTGAAAATTATGCTTTCTGAATAGCTGGCACTGATACCTACATGAAACTGATATGGATTTCTAGCAGAACTGTTGGTACAGACTATTACAGGGCAGAGGAAAGTGGGCTACTTTTATTCATGCGTTTTAATATCATACAAGATGTACAAATTTAGCCTCCGTCCTGGAAAATGTCACTTTTAACCTTTCAAATTGTAATCAAGTTGCTCAACCTGCACTGACCTCTTGTCAAGCTAAGCAAAGGCATACTTAAACAAATACTGGATTTTATCATCAAACAAACATTTCCCATCCTTGTGGGAAATGATATTTTGGGTCTTATGGTCATCCCCATAGAATAAACTTAGCTTGTACAAAACAATACTGCATTCTGTATAGCAATTTTGGGCATACCAGAAACCCATTTCTAAGGTTACTGAAGGACTAAAACACACAGAGCCAAAGAAAGTAGCCAACCTTTCTTCTCCCTTCCTCCATGGAGAGGCTGTCTGGCAGCATCAACTTCAGGAAATCTTCTTTGGACAAGACTTGCTGGCTTTCAACAATAGCATTCCTGACAGAAGTTTGGAGCGGACTCGATGCAGACACAGCATCAATATCATCATACACTCTGTTGAGAAAATGGGTGGTTTTAGCAAGAAATTGGATTTGAAAGGCTGCAATCATCTTCTGTCAAAGTGAAAATTGTTAGAATTATCTCCTGACACAACACACTGTTTAGAAAAATTTTTTGATCACTTTACCTTTATGAAACTGTTTGTGGGTATAAAGTGAAATTCTGAAACCACTGAGAAATGAAGTTTAGGAATCCTAAAGAAAAATTTAAAAAAGCATTCTTCTAGCTTGCCTCTTTTTTACACACCACACTTCTTTACCAATACAAAAGTTATATTTATTTCAACATTTCCAAAGGTTCATCACAAAACACTTTAACTTTTACTTCCATAGCAAATAATAAAATCAATATTTTATAGTACAATATTGCATCCAGCTTCACAATCTGGCAAAATTACTATGGTCATCACAGCAATGTTTGAAGTGTATTGACAATCAATTGCCCAGTGTAAGTATATTTTATTATCAGCAATTTCATAAAGCTATTTAGATAAATTAAACAGGTAATTATTATTTAATTATCAGCACATAAAAATCTAGTTACAGTCAACAAAAGACTGTCAAACTGAATTATTAACCTTCAGCTCCTTCCAGTGAGAAAGGAGAGACAGGATTTTAACAGGTTTACTCTGAGAATGTAATCGAAGGAACTGGAGATTGTGACTCACAGAGATCACACACTGGAAGCCATTGTTCCTTGTCCTGCCAAGTGCAGCCTCATCAGTGACTGTCTTCAGCAGAGAGAAAAAAAGCTTTGCTATGGTAAAGTATCAGTGAATTTTAACCTACAGTGGCACAACATTCAGCAATTGACCTGATATTCATCATCACTGCTAATCAGAGATGCTATTTTATTTCAACATAATTATCCTCAGATATTTCCTCTCTGTGATATAGAGAGCTTTCCTAGAAAGAAAGAGGTGAGCCAATTCTGTATGCCATGGAAAAATCTGAAAGTATTTTTTGACATAGGGAATGTTGTCATTGTCATATTGAAGTAATGGTTCTTGAACAGAGCTATCTCTTGAAGATAATTTTCTAAATTGTCGTTGTTTCAGTCTAAATACCCTGATTCGTGATGCAGTTTTATTTTAAGGCTGCCATTCAAAATAAGGAGACACTGTTTCAGTAGTTCATTGATTTCAAAATCCAAAAATTTGTGAAAACCCTGAAGTTACCACACTATAATTCAAATACTACTATGACTGAAATATTTATGCAATTAAAATATTGGGGGTGAGAAATGGAATCACCTCTATTAACACAAAGGAACACAAATAACCAGGACAGGAGAGCTGTAACATCATCTGCTTTTGCAAACTAGGAATTCAAGAGCTTAATGTCAGATTCTTATTTCATAGCATATATACTCTAGCATATATTTTTAAATATGACTCTTGCCATAAATACACACACATATGCAAAATTAGGTATTAGATAAAAATAACCCAATCCCATTAAACAAAGAATAATCCAAATTAAACGTTTGAAAATCCAGTACTGCATGTGATCAATTTTTTGAGATGGACAGTGGCTGACTATGGTTTATTGAGAAACAGCACCAAATAGCTTGTGCAAAAAAAGAGAGCAGGGACATTATCCACAAGGATGATTTTGAAGCCAGCAGGAATTTCAAGGCTAGTTTTAAATGCCAGATTCAAACATCACTTATCATGGATGCACCATTATGAAAGTATTATCTCTCTATATTTGAAGTACTGAATGTTTTCCTTTAAGTTCAAGCCTTTTCCTTCCACCTAAGCACAACACATTTCTCATGGACTATTCCAGCACCAAGATTCATTAGATAAATAAAGATACGGAAAAATCTCCCAGAACATTTAAAGGCAAAACAGAATTTGTCATTTCTTTCTATCCTATTTTAAAATTTATTTTCACTACCCTACTTCTCCCAACAAAGTAAAACAGAGTGCTTACTCATGACATTCTGAAACCTCAGATTCTTCAGGCGTAGGACTTCCTTCTGATTTTTTCCATCCAATGACATATTTACTCACTGCTCCTTGTCTGTGGTATGGTTTTGAAATCGACCCAGACATCTGCTGACCACTATTCTGCGACACTATATAAACTTTGGAGGTATCTAGGGAGCCACTCTTCTTGGAGCAGTGTGTTGATGGGCTTCCTGAATGATGTGACCCGCTGGAAGAGTGAACGAAACACACAAAAGGAAAAATTAAATACGCTATGCAACAACAAATCAGAAACGCTTTGCCTGGTATGTGGCAATAATTCTCACTGTTAAGTTTCTCTCAAGGTTAAAATCAATGAAGCAAAATTGGCACAGTAATTTTCTACACACCAACTGTGTACACATTAAAGCTCTGAGAACAGAATTGTGATGTGTTTCTAGAACAAGCAATACATGGAATTCAGCTTGCTGAAATGCCAGTGCAAACTGATGTGAATCAAAAGAAAAAGCCTGAATTTTATATATATATATATATAAATATATATATATATAAAAAAAAAAAATATATATATATATATATATATATATAATTTGTGTGTGAAATTTTGTGCACACACATTTACATAAAGAACTACATAGGGAATTACTCAAATATCTCCCTAATCATAAAACCTATGTGCTTTTCCATTTCACAATAATTTTGCCAGTTGATGCAAGATTAGGCTGTGCCTTTCAATCAGACACACTAATATTAAATTATCAGCATATTTTACAGAAGTAAATTTCAGTTCAACAAGACAGTCCTCTGGATAATTTTAACTTTCCCTTTTATTACAAATAATAGCACTAGTAGGCACTAAGACATATTTTTATTGAAGACTCTGAAACCTATTTCAAATCAACTAAAGCAAACATTTACTAGAAGAATAAATTTCTTCAGAATAACCAAACAAGACAAATTCACTCATGTCAAGCTTAGAAGGAAATCAGTATACAAGGTATTATTTGGTTATTTTCCTGTACTGATTGACACTGAAAACAGGAAAATCAGAGGGAAAGAAGAACAAACAAATTCCTTCTATCCTTTAGAGTAAAAACCTTAACACACAGACCAAAGCTTCAACATCAAAGTCACCGGACAATGGAAACTGGAAGATAAAGGCAACCAGCTATAGAAGCGTACTTTCAACAAGCTTTACAACAGATATACCACACACATAGCTCATTAGTAACAAAAAGAAAAGCTGAAAGCAAATCATAAATGCAGTTCAACAAGCAAAACTGCAAAGCATACATCAGAACAATGCAAATTAGGGGGGATGGTATGAGATGCAGTTTCTATGGTATGTAAATACCGTCCATTGTCCAATTTTTCTGATTTCCCTCAGCACTAACTCCAAGGTAATTTGTTGCACTGTACTAAAAAACCCTAAAGTAATTGAAATAAGTTCTAGGTGCAAACTTATCTTTTACTCAGGGATGTTTCCCAATTTTAAAAACACTAAGCAGTTTTCAAGCATCACGTATAAAGCCTCCATTAGACCTGGGAGGAGGTCTGGCTGTGCTTTCCAGGCAGACTCATCAAAAATTGCTTGAAAACTGCTCACACAGGCATTCGAATACAACACAAAAACATAAAAATCTTTTCATTTCAGCTTCAAAGAAGGGTAAACAGAATAAAAACAACCCAAAAGGGTTATCTGCGTGCTAACCTACAATCCATGGCCCCGAATTTGTAAGAAGCGTGCCTACCTGGAATGAGAGGAGATTTCACTCAGGTCTCCCATGCTGCCCTCAGCCGTGTGACTGCCGGAGATCGCAGAGGCATAGCTGTGAACAGCATAGATTTTAGCTGGATCGTCGTCCGGCCCGGGAGCCTCCGAAGCCTCTGCCCACTGCTCCGTGTGGCAGTGCACCCCAGACCTGCTGCCAGCCAGGTGCAGGGGGGCCAGCAGAGGAGCTGGCATGCAGGGAGCCGTATCGATCCCGCTGTCTGTAGAAGCCCCCTTTATATAGGTTAAGCCGAGCAGCTCGGGATCCATCAGGTCTCCGGAACCAAAGTGCTTCTCATCGCTGTTGCTGGATGTATTGCTGGATAAGGTGTTGCTGCTGGAGTGGCTTGAACAGCTCTTGTCCCCAATCTTAACAACAAGAAAACAAACCAAAAAAAGACCCCCCTCAAATTAAATAGTAAGAGATCTATTTTCATATAAATTACTGCATTTGTGCCATTCAAAGACCATTTTATTCATTTTTTTCTTTACAGTATGCTATCATATAACTGCAAAGTATGAAAAGAGCCAATTATACCACCAGTTTCTGTGAAATGAATTGCACAGCTGGCTAGACACATTAAAGGTTGATGTCACTGCAAATAAAAAGGCTCTAGTTCCATCTTCTATCACAGATCTTAAAATCAGAATTGAATTTTCTGATTATAGGACCTGCTTAACATCCATAAAATTGCATTTCTGAACAGTTAAAATAAGCATTTGTTAAAGCTAGAAGCCTTGGTAATTATTTGTTTAAACAAGCTCTACTGCAAATCTGAAAAGCACCGAAGACTGAATTATTGTTGGCTTTTTTTCAGAGTGGCTGAAATATGCATTCTCATTGGATCAAATCCAATTGGATGTGTGGCTAGTTAAATTGAAGCCAATTGTGATGAATGTGTACCAGATGAAAGTAACTTAAGTCATAAGGCCCTAAACTAAGCATGGCTATTGAAGTGGAATAATTACATCAGACTTTTGTGCCAATAAAGTCCAGGGGTTTTGTTATTTACCTTTTAAAATAAATTTTATAGAGAGTTGGATTAACTAATGTCTGTGACAGTAGCCAGAATAAAAGCAGATGGACTTCTACAAGGGCAAATGGACTTCTATTAGGTAGGATATAAATGGGAAGGGTGACTAAGTTTTTCATGAGATCCCTCTCCCAGCAGATGCTAGGAGATGCTGTTGCTCACACATAAAAAGTAAGTTTACAAACAGTGTAGAGATTCCTACTACATATAGCAGGATTTTCCACGTAACAAACATTATCATTATGTAATTTCCATCACTAGGCTGCTGAGGATTTTGCCATTACTGAAGACAAGCTACTAAACAAGGTAGACTAGAAAGTCTGTTCAGCATTCCCAATGTACAAGCTACATTTTTATAGTGCTTATTGGTAATTACACTCCATGGGTATTTCATGTAAGATGAAAAGCGGTATGGTAAATATAATTTTATTTTCTTTTAAAGGGTAATTAAATACTCCACAGATTAAATAAGGCAGTATAAATGAAGCTGTAAATTCACAGCTGAGTGGAGACTATACTAGTTTTATCTCCTCAGTGCCCCAGACCCAAGCTCTCTTGGAATTCTGAGTTTGTAAACACAGATTAAGCATACTTGACTCAACCCATACCTGGGATAGCATAATCTTTGAGATAGCATAATCTCCCAAAACACACAGTGGTCTTCACAAATTACTAAAATGTATTTTAAAGATTTATTTTCGTAAGTCCAGAATAGTTTTTTGTTGTTGCTGTTTTGGGGTTTGTTTGTTTTTGGAGTTCCGAATGACATCCAAGGAAAAGACTTACATGCGAAAGCTTGTTTGGCGACTCCTTGCCACTGCCTTCTTTCTGTAGAGCTCGGTCTTTGTAGGAGCTCAGGACTTTGGTTGATGGTGCGTGCCACTTGGCTTCTGCCAAAAATAATGGAGAAAGGCACATGACTCAGCATCAGGTTTCAAACCTGCACACTCCTTGCAATCAGACACAGGTATCTTTGCAGAATGTCGCAACAGTCCCTGCTTTCAGTGGCACATCACGTGCTCCCTGCGAGTCAAACCTCCACACGGGGAGGTGGCTGCATTTCAACAGGCACTGCATTGCAAAGAACATGTACTTGAAAGATACAGTGGGTTTCATTACCAGAATGTCTAGTTCCTTCCAAAGTTTCCTCTCGTTCTCTGCCTCCTTCACACTCCAGTGAGCCTGAACCTTGGTGATGTTCATGGAGCAAAGGGGACTGGCATCTTTTAATGCAAGCAGAAAATTAAGCTGGTAAGATTAGTTATCCTGTAAGATTAGTTACATGATGAACTATACCACTTTTTACTCTTAAAAGCAAGTATCTTGTGACTTTTTAAAATAATCATCATTCCCAAACATTCCCAAACTCTGCATAGAAATATTTACATGCAATTTTTTCAACAGCATACTGTTATATCTCAAGTGTGAACATGCCAAGAAGACAGCAAACTTTAAGAAGAAATGTATTCTTGGGGCTATACACCCAAAGGCTTTTGCAGTGAAGAACCATGAAGAACCAGTGAAGAATATGCTTAACCTCTTTGTGATCTAAGCCCCACAGAAATCAATCATAGCTTTGCAGGGTTTCACACTGCAAATATGTAAGTTAGTACCAGATCCACTGTTTTGTATTATACTGCAAAAGTTTAAACATCTTACAAAGCAACAAACTAAGACCTAGATTGATGTTAGAACTAACTGTGCTGGAAAAAATGATACAAGATGCATTTTGATGAGTTGACTGCCAAAAAAAAAAAAAAAAAAGTTACAGTTTTATTTGAATTATTAGCATCTATTTAGCTGCCAGAGATTTCACTGAGTTATGTGAAATTCCTTGAAGAGTCTACAAGATACTGCATATATATCTGCTACACAGAATATCTTATCCACAGTCAATCATGCCAAAGCATTAATAAGCTTCAAGGAGTCAAGCCGATGCTTTCAATATTCACTTTTTTTTTTCTGTAAAGTAGCTTCTGAAAACCACTTGGCAAGTCTGGAATGCTTTTATATTACTCCATTGTAGATACTGCCATAGCTCAACATTTTATAACAGGAGTGTTTTCGGCAGCTGTATATATACAACAAAGTCATAAATTTAAAGTAGTTTAGAACAGATGTCTCACATAATCTTATAACGTGAGTTATATTTGGGTCGTCTCTTATATACAGATAGCTAGCTTCTGAAATTTCAGTGCCAAGGGATTAACAGGCATGCAAAAGGACCATCTATGTACAGCCTTTTAGGGAGTAGGGACCTCTGAAATTCTTACTTTTTTGAGGATATATGCTAGGGAATGGCTGTCATCAAAACATACACAGCAGGACATAAAACCTTCGAAGACCATAAAGATTTTTTTTTCTTTAATTAAACGCCTTCCTCCTGAAGCAGGAGGAGGAAGTATAATTATTTTATTTTAGTTCTGAATTACTAGCTGATTTCTGGCCCATTACTGGGAAAATAAAACAAAGAACCATTTTTCATTTACCTGGTTTTAAAAGTATGATCCTAAAGAGTTAAATTAGGATGACTTTAAAATTGCGGTTGCATGCATGTTGCATCAAATATCAGTAAACCTGTGGATCTTAGAAGATACTAACAGTGTTTGAAAATAAAATCTAGAACACACATACAAATTTTGCTTACGAAAGAAGATGCATGTGTCATGGGGTATTTAATTACTGGTTTAAAACCACAACAGCATGGGAGCTACTCCAAGGTTTAAATAAAAATTTTTAAAATCACTAATACCCGTCATATCCCACTTGCTGTCTCCAGTGGCTGCTCCCGCTGGGTCCTGGGTCACTGGATGAGGACTGGTTGCTCGGAGAACTTCTGTAATGTTGATTTTAGAGTCATTAACAGTGCACTGAGGTATTTGTAGGGTTTCAGATTTGAACTGGGCTGTGCTACTTTTATCAAATACATTCATTTTCACAAATAATACAGATGTAGTATGGACACTTAGTTACATTCATTTGGGGAACTTAAAAGGTTTATCTCAGTTTCATAAAACTTTAATGAGAATTTAAAAGTATAGCATTTATTCACAAATAAAATATTTCCAACTGAATATATAAAAAGGCACAAAAAGAGAAAGACTAAGTACCAAATCCTATTTTCCTTAGATCTGGCTTTAGTCCTGAATAAGTGGGATTACTCAGGAGCTGGATTAGGTCTCTGAATTCATGTGTGGGAAGTTCTCATACTGGATCAGACATTATTGTTATTTCCTTGGCACTTATTCCAATTTTAAAGATAGTAAAATTGGAAGAGGCAATTCTAATACTTTTTAAAATTTTATTTAATTAATCTTCTTTAACATAGAAAAGCAACAAAAAAAAAATTTTCATGAAGGATATTATTTTGTACTTATTATTTAAACTTTTAAGCTTCATGTCTTAACAATGTCTCTAACCGGTTTTGTTAGATTTCCAGAGAGTTGAAATTTAATGCATAAATTTGGGTTTCATCACATCCTTTCCTTCACTTCTGTGCATATCATTCCATAATTACAACAGAATTTCCTTCAGCTATCTTGACATTATCTTTAATTCCCCATGTTTATCTTTTTTTTTCTTTTTTCTCCCACCTTTTCTTTTTCATGTAGAAATGAATGTATGTACTCAGGAAAGAAATGAAGAGGTGTTTTTTTCTTTATGCAAACCACTTTCCCAAGAACATGAACTTTTAATAAGCAACTTTAGCATTCAGCTTGAAAATTTTAAAGACAGCAGCTATTACATTTTGTTTTTTAAAGGCATTAGGTGTTATATTTTGTCTAATAGTCAATGTACAATAAATAGTGTAATACCTTATTTTTCAGCATGTCTTTCTCTGAGAAGTATTGACAGGACTGAACCTCTCTCAATTATGTGAAGTAGTCAATAGATTACAGCTAAATTCAGTTCCATGGGGTTATTACCACCAAGAATTATGCACTTCATGCACGGATTAAGTGATCCAGCACTAAGTAATGGATAAATTATGATCCCATGTGTTTCCACCCTCCAGGCTGATGTTTAGGACATTGTCCCCAAAGCCAGGATATTGCTTTATGCTGTTCCTAGGCTGAAATATGTCTACCTCCCATTTGCTGGACAAGTGTGAAGCCTTTAGCCTAGTAAACAATGAGTGGCTACAGAAGGAGAGCCACAGAAATCCCATCAATGACTGCCCCACACAGTTCCTTCACACAAGAATTCCAACCATCTGCTCTCAGGAATGGATTCCAGATTCCAGGTGATAGGATGTATTGCTCACTAGTGTCACACAGGGGCTAAAGTACACAGAGACTTCTTGGTGCAAAAATCAGAACAGAGAGTCCGCCTAAAGCTTCGCTTAGGCACATGCTATGAGTAGCTGCCACAGAACCAGCCACTCTGTGAAAAAAGGAGTAGAACTTAAGGATACCCTCCTATTTTTAAGTATTCTAGAGGAATTTCCTTGAACAACTCCAGAATACTTGGATTGCCTTCTCAAAGCATTCAATTCTCAGGAATTGTATTAGGTGTCTAAGTGTTCAGCTCTCAGTTTATAATTTCACTCCAGGGACTGGGCACCTAAATATTGTATGTCACAGCAGTTGAATTTTTGCTGCTTAACTCTCTTACTATATACAGTACATATTTCTTCTACTTCTTCCTCTTTTTATTTCTAAACCAATCAATTTTAATGCTGACTTCACCCTTAGCTCATTTTCAGATCAACTATTTAATCTTCCCTGTTTCATCAACTTGCTTTTCCCTGCTTGCACTCTTAAACTGATATGGGGTCTCTGACCCTCTAAAAATCTCTCCATTGTTTACCTAGCCTGAGTATACACTTTCACCCTTGCAAGACTACTTCTAAGTACTAATCCACCTTACTTCAAACTCTCCTGTTTTAAGCTCATCTCTCTGCCAAATCATCAACTCTGCCTCTTCCCATGTAGAAAGACCTTGCCAATTAGGTATCTTTCTTTACATGTTTCAAGACCTACATGCCAGAATCCATAATTTTCTTCGCTTTCCATTATTTATACTCTGCATAGTGTCTTCCCCAGAATAGCACTTCTGCACTGCACATGTTTTGCTTAAGTGATGCAGGAATTTCTTCATGATAAGAGTAGACTCAGTCTAAGCATTTTTTTCACATGCTTTGCTGAGTGTTACGAGAAGTGCAGCTTATGCTTGTGAAGTCTTTTTGGAATTGAGTAGCATGTCAGAAAGCTTTCATTTCTTTTCTGTATCAGCATACAGTAAGCTTAATAAAGCTTCATAAATGATTAAGTATTTCTAGACATTTGATACATTGTTTCTTTACATTAGATGTTATCGAGAATTTCATTAACAAGACATTAGGAAAAGCTCAAGTTCTATAATAGTATTTAAATGCTTACAAAAAATGCACCCCCCAATTTTTCAGGGAGTGGAGAGGAGGGAAGGGTAGAAGAAAACAAATGACCAAATGGTCACAACTGTGAGTCCTCCTTCCCCAGACAATGAAAGAGACTTATTTTCAAATATGCAATACTATTACTTGTGTACATTTCAGTGTAAAAAGTCATTAATTCTTTTGTACTAAATAAAGTAGTCAGTGTGGCAATAGAGGCATTTAATGATTTAATCCAGAATTTAAGACTAGTATTTTAGATTTTTGAATCACTCAGATATTTTCAACATACAGTAATTATTTACTTGGAAGTTAGAACAACATCACCCCATAGATATGGGAATGACCTGAAATAATTATAAATAAAGGACAGAATTCTGCTCAAGACATATGGTTTTCCTAAATAATTCAAAGGCCAAGTGTATTTGCAAATTTTTATCTTTAAAAATGATGCTTCATCTTATGAAGAATTATGATTAAATTAGAACAGAGCTAACATTTAAGGATACCATCCCATCATCTAAGAGGTGTTACATATTCAAATCACAAGCTCTGCTTTGTTTAATTAAAAGCAAAACAAAACATAAGGGCTGGTAATGTGTTACAGAACCCTTTGAAACTATGCCAATACCTTGGCAGTGAGAGTAAAAAATTAATTTTTAAAGGAATGAGTTAATTTTATTTACATTCAGTATTTGTTTAAATAGTCTTCCAAAAGGTGGGGAACTACATTAGTAAGATCCCAAATTTATAACGCAGTTTTCCACTTCACTGACTGGGGACCATAGGGAAAGGTCAGCTGTCCTCAGCAGTAGGATCCTCAGTACAGACCATTTCCACCACAAACACCAAAAGTCACTTGTTTCAAGCAGACTGGTCCAGTGAATGCTATTTAATACAACCTCAGAATTAAAAGTACTGTCGAAACTCAACAAAAAGAAGACACCAAAGTTGTAGAAAGCAGAGATTTCAAAAGCAATACACATTAGGAAAATGACAGCCATTAACCAGAGAGCGTATTTATTACCTTGCACCATCTGGCAGCTTTCTATCAAAGGAAGTGCTACGAGGAATGGCTGTCTGAGCCTGCTGGAGAAGCTGCTGGCACTGCAGTCTGTCAGATGTTCCTAGGATTGGAGAGGCACGAGAGAGAGGCTGCCCAGCGGGAGTCGGCACCCGATGCCAAGTGGTATTCCTTCTGAAAGGGGTTTTATACTCACATGGGGTGCCTTCACTGTCAAGTTTGTATTCCACCATGGGTATACGACAAAGTTCTGAACAACCCCTGTGGGACAAATAAAAATTCAGTCTCACAGAAGAGAACAGAGAGAGGAATCTTGCATTTTCAGTCAAAAGTATATACATGTTTTTATTTCAGGTACCCAAAGGTTTTCATACAGCATTGTACTTTGAACACTTCAAAACTGTCATGCCAAGCAGGTAGAAAACACTTCAAAATAAAAGATTTGCTGTCATGTGCTCAAAGACCTTTGAACTGCCTCCTTGCCCTTCAAAAAAGGGGAACATATTAAACTTTTATAAATTAATCTTCAACTTGAATTTTACATAATAAAAACTTCTAGAGTCATGGCATTTAGAAGTCGTAAAGCACCAAGTTTTTCTAAAATGGCACTGATTTGTTTAAATTTCAGAAACAGGTTTGTCGCTTTGCAGCAAACTAAACGTTTCTAAGCAGGATTGAGAACTCTCCTTTAGAATCCAACCTTGTCCCCACCAAAGAACACATAGACTACAACACCAATGATTAATTGGCACCTAAATATTTTTCCCTGTGTTTTCAAAGTGTACTTTCTAATGTCTCTTTTCCCAGGGATTTGTAAACATGGAAGAGAATTGGGGAAGTGGAAGGAAGACACAAGAGTCTGGCTTACCACCTCTGCTTGAAGTGTGCTTTACAGTGTGGTTAAATACTAACAGTATTCACAGACCATGTAAACCCAGGTAAGAGTGCTGGTAGCATTCCACAAATGATCCATGTGCCTTTGGGATATTTGCCGTAGACACTGACTGCACTCAATAATCAAGTGTTACTGTTTCAGAAATTAGTTAATAGAAACTTCACACACCCTTTAAGTCAACATTGATTACCACTGGATATTTTTTAGATTCTCAACATTCCATCTCCATTATTTTTCTGATAGGCAGTGTACTAAATCAGTATCTATGAAGAGAACACCCTAAATACTTCCAAAGCAATACATTAAGTTTAAGTAAGAAACCGAAAATTTGCTCCTCTGTCTCAACTACAATTCTGCATTATTCCTTAGCTGAGTTTTGATCAAGCTTTGCTTTTGCTGAAAAACCAGCATTTACCATTTGCAACTAAACTAAGAACACCTAGAGAAAGTGCAACAGAGTGTAAAGAGTTTACAGTCTTAATCCTGAAAATATCTTGGCATAAATGACTTAACACAACTTGCACTTGCAGTGCAAGTAAATTGCATAAATTCTCACACATTAAATCACTCTGCATTAAAACTTGTAAATCAACCTTCCCAAAGGATATTTTCATTATCTGTTTTCTTGTAAATAGATTAAAAGAAAAAATATTAGACAAAAAGCAAGCTGCCTTATTCAAGGTTGCTGAAGGGAAGACCCGACAGCAACTGTAGCAATTACATTCCATGCACAGTCTGATCCAGCCAAATGTTTCACTCTGCTGAGATTTTCAGTAGCAAATTGGCACGTTTATCCTGTAGCACTAAATCTCTATCCCTGGTGGCACTCAAACACATGAAAAAGAACTTAAAAATATAGATGATGAAAGCGTTGAGAATGGAGATCAATAGCCAATATAGGGTGGAAGACACCTGGATGACCATGAGCTGAAGAGCTAGCATGTTCCAAAGCAGAACTCAGAATTCCTGGTTTTTCAATGTTATTATTTTATCAGAAATATCATTGTGAGATGCACCAATAAAATATGACATGCCCAACCTCTGCTGACAAATCATAGTTGGATATACTGGAGGCATCACAGAATTTTGCAATCATGATTTTCTGGTTTGAGCTTCCCTAAGGAGATAAAACCAGCCTAATAATCTCTTCTCACAGACATGGAATGGCGCTACAGAGAAATAACTGTTATAAAATTATTACATCATTTCAGAGGGTCAATTTGGTATATCTCTAGCTTTCTCCTCACCCTGAAATGCCACAGTTATTCAGAACACCACTTCAAACTGCCTCAGTCCACCTATCGATTTTTAAAACTTTTCTCACTCTTCAGAGAATCACATGTTGGGCTCTTAGAATGAGGAACACCATGAAAAAAGGTCAAGTTAAGAGAGCTGCACAGAACTGTGCGAACTTTTCTATTGTTGAAGCATGTATAGAATCTATTTTTCAGGTGTGATTTTCAACTGCTTATGTTCCAAGATCATTCTTCCATTTATGCAAGTTCCTGCCTCATTCACTGCCTGCAGTGAAGAAAGTGTAGGAGACAACAGCCTCCAGCAATGTAACCGTGATCCTTCTGTTTTTCTTTTTGTTTTTAAGTACGAAGTTTTACATATGAGACAAACAGATCAAAGAATGCAGAAATGTCATAGCAAGGTTAATAGTAGTTTGGTGCACTGCACAACTTTTCATGTGACCATATATATATACAGTTTTCCATTATTTGATGAAGAAGTTGAACAGTTACGTAGGCTAAAATTTCAATCTGCCTTCTGCTAATTTCTTAGTACTGTTTTACTCCCTTCTTCATTCCTATAGGCTTTAGGCATTAGAAACAAACCACCCCCTCCCCAACTTTTGTTTTAAGACATCAATTTTACTTGGTAAACCAATACCATCCATTCTCATCTTGGTAACTGAGAAAGTTTATAGCATGTAATTGTGATTGTAGCCCTCATTAGATACTCCCCATAAAGTACTCTAAATGCTGTAAAAATAACCACGGGTTTTAAAAGCAAAAGGGACTGTTGCTACTATTTAGTTTGACTTAGCTTGCTGACTAATTAACAAAAGCATGGTATAATGACAGTAAGCAATAAGCTTTCCCACAATGAGTAAGAACTGAAAATTTTGTAAAATTTTGTGTTTGTTTGCATCAGGAAAATATATTCTTCCTACAAATGAAAAAAATAATATATTGAGGACATATATTCAGTTCCTACAGAAAAAATGCTTACAAAACAACCTTGTTTCAAATCACTACAAAAATTCAACAGTGCTGCTTATGAACTCAATACAGAGCCCTAGAATGCTTGTTTCAACTGGCTCAAAAAAGAATTTCCATGGTTTCAGATAGCTTCTTTTCTCACATAAGGCTTTTAAATCTTAATTTAAAAGTATCAAACCAATCACTTCAACATTTATATGAAAAAATATGCCTCACTGCTTCACAAGCACTGCCTAAAGAACAGATACTGCAGTATATAGAAATAGGTAAAGTTGTAATTGAAGCTACCTCCTATATCAGGAAGACAGAGAAGGAATTACTTCATGCCTGCAATCCCCACCTCCACTCCCTGCCATGGACCAAACTGTGAGTTATCTTGCATGAAAAAAAAAACAACTCAAAAATAAATACAATTCCCTCTTAAATATGTAATTTGACCTTTATCTAACTTTTACTTACGATTTTACTTATTCCACCAGTGCAAGAATATACATTGGCACTGGTATTGAATGTTAGCTTTTAAATTTAATTTTTATATATTTCTTTTAAATTCACTTTGAAGGATACATAAAGATAAATGTCTATTTTATGGTTTTATAAAGATACTTAAATTTATGTTAAACAAGTATAGGATATCAAACGTCTTTTGCAATTATATCCAATATAACATTTGGAAAACAGGCTCACACTATTTAACAAGCAAATGAGACCATATCTTAACCACACATCAGAAATTACAGCACTTCCTGCCCTTCACCATAGCTTGGCATTAATTAAATCAATGCTTCAATATAAAGCACAGACTCCTACTAATACCTTTGGTTCAAGAGCCATATTATCCTATTAAAAATTTGGTTAATAAAACCTACTCTGTAATTAAAGAAAGCATGACTCTCCAGCTAGCAGGTCACGACGACATAATAAAATTTAAGAGTCCACTATAAAAATCTGCAATATTCAAATGTTCATGCAAGGAGCATTATGTTCTGAAAGAATTATCAAGCAGTCCATCAAATTTTTAAAACTACATTAACCAAACCAGTGTTAGTTTCAGAATTCATACAAAGGCTCTGTAATAGGCTCTCTGAAGGGCCTACATTAGGCAGGGAGTCTAGTTAAACTTGGTAAATATCCATCTCCACGGAAAAGACAAGCTTCCATGCACCATGATCAGCATCCTGTCACCTTGATAGCTATACAAAAGTCTTTTTTTCTGCTAAATCCTATGACTATCAGCTACTGGGTACAACTTCAGTACTTGGAGTCCAGCTAGTTACAGATTTCAAGCATGAACAATTTGTTAGGGTATCAACTTAACTAGAATTACAGTTTAACTCTGGTTCAATGTATTGCAAGGAGATGTAGGGACACAGAAGGAAGCATTGGCGTGCATCAGTTTATTACACTGATAAATTGTCCCTTACTGTCACCATTTCAATACCAAACATCTAATCCTGCTCAAGAAAGAGTCTTTATCCAGCAGAACAATAACTGCATTCTGCTAACTCTAACTTTGTTTTTGAAAACAATCACTTCTATTAGAGCGCATGTTTGTTCTTACTCTACAGCAGCGCCCAAAGTGACACAACGAGCCTGAGGACTCATTGTGCAATCTATTAAATCCACATAATAAAACACAGATTCATTTCATGTAATTATAGGGATTTAACTGGAAAGTAGAATTTAGTAGCTTAGTTTTGCTGAGATTCAGTATGTAGTTAGTTAAGACATACATAGATTTTTCCCTTCCCTAACACTGCAAAGTACCTCCTGGAGGTAATATCTCAATTCCACTGACTCCCTGTATCAGTTACAGCACAAGTCCAAGAAACTGCATAATACTGAAATGGTCTAAGAGAAATTTAGTCAAAAAGTCAAGACAAAAATTCCAAGTTCTGACATCTCAGAAATCTATTAACAGTAGTCATACATAATTAAATTTTTTAAAAAAAATTTTTCAATTTTATATTTAAATAACTTTATACCACAATAGATGTATGAGATTGCTTACAGCAGCCTCAGAGAGGGCTGCTGCCCACCCTATCACTTTGGTTTAAGGGAAGTGATGACTCTCTTACAGTCCCTCCATGGAGCTAAAGAGCTGAAGCTGTCAATCCTTCCTTCTTCAGGATAAACTC